ATCACAGGAAACTCCCAGGTCCCAGGCATCAAGGACCAAAGGGCCCAGGGCTCACACCATTCAACACAGGTTCTCGTCAGCTGGTGAACAAGGGATCAGGAGCAATGGATCTCCTATCCTTCTTAGAAAATGACGATCAAGTCACAGAATGTCAGAGCTGGAAGGAACCTCAGAGATGGTCACATCAAACTTGCCTTACAGTGGGAAAACAGACTCAGAGAGGGCAAGCAAGGCTGCACAGTACAGCGGCTGCCACCTTGGGCCAACATTCTAACAAATGCTCTCTACTTAAAGGATTCCTGGTAGCCCTCATGATAAAAGCTATCCCGTGGGACCTCTGATGGATTTGAGAGCTGCAATGAAACCAGGATATTCTTTTAGATTTTGAAAACATAAAGGCATAATCCTTTTGTTTTTAAAATTTCACCCTGATTCACTTAGGTTCACGCCGTTTACAAAAATCTTGTTTTCCTCAAGAAAACAACAAAAAAAATGATGGCTTCCTATGTGAAATCCCTGGGAAGTACAGAACTCAAGAAACACTCTGCTTCTCATCTCTCAGAGCCCCTGGGGAACCAGAGAAATCCCAAGCCTAATGTTTCCCAGGGAGCAACACCACGACGCTGTAACAAATATCAAAGAAGATGCGACTGGCCAAGTGGAAAAGCAATGATTTTGAGTCTAGAGACTTCGTGGCAAGTTTCAGTCTTGTCGTTGACCTGCAGCGTGACTTTCGCCTGGCATCATTCCATTTGGGGCCTGTTTTGGCACCCATCATGTGGAGGAAAGATGACTAGGTGCTTTTCAAGTGCCCTTCCAGTTAGCACAACGGAGACCCCAAGCTTCCCCACTGCTGTCCCCGGACACCACCTCCAGCCTTCCCTCCACGCTTGCAAAGCCTGGGGAGGGAAGGGGTGGGTGTTTTTCTCCATTTAATGTCAGACTTCCTAATTGACTTGTCCACGTCTCTGGAAGTGACAGCTGATGAATAAGGAGGTCCGGAGGTGCTTTGTCCAGATCTGACCATGGAAATCAGGGAAGAGCAAATAATCTCCAGGTTGCTCTGGGGTGACGTAGTCGCTAGAGGATGATGTTAATTCTGCTGTTTACAGAAATAAGTCCAGTGTGAGTCGACGCTTTTTGGTGTTTAAAACCAGATGGTATTTCCTGCCTTGATCAGCCTCAGAGCTTTGGTTTCCATGGCAACCCTTAAGTTCCACCTACTGCAACTTCCCTGTTCTCCAAGCTTCTTCCTCTTCCACCATCATTCCAGTGTCCCTGGAGAATGAAGCCACTAACTAGCATGTGCACCGCACTTTACAGTTTATAGCACATTCCAGCATTTATTACATTTTCTCTTCACTACTGCCTTGATAGCATTTGCTATTCCTCCATTTCACAGATGGGAAAATCGAGGCCAGAGACAAGGTGGCCTGCACTCTCAGCTCTCAGGAGTGTCAGGACTCAAACCCAGGTTTTATGACTCTGGATCTCACCTTGGGCCCACTACACCAGGAGGGATATCCATACACTGCCCTACAGATCATCTACTTGTTTGATTTCTAAACAGCTAATTCCTTTAAAAAATCTGGTCTAGGTCAAGGTGTGGCATCTGTAGGTAAGCCACTTACCTTCCCTTGCCTCTCTGCTCCTTTGTATAATGGGTGGTAATCCTGGCCCCTCTGGACGGATCGGAGGGTTAATAAATATGCATGTAAAACCACAGTAAGAGCCAATGGGCTGAAGAGAGACCCGAGACGCCTGGCTGTCTGTTCCACCCTAACTCCCTGTGTGACACTGGCAGGTCAGCTTGCTTGCAGAGCCTACTCCCCCACTCCATAAGAGGGAGCAGCACGGGAGGGTGCACACGCATGCTGTGCATGGTGAGACAGATGCACCACCACTCACACTGCAGAGTGCACGCGCATCCGCTGGAACCTGCGTTTCTTACAAGTGTCCACAGACTGCACTCAAAGTGGCAGTGCTGTGGCTAGGAGAGCACCATGCCAGTACTATGAATAATTAATCCTGCACACAGCCATGTCCACTCAGCAGGAAACTCAAGCTCGGAGAGCCCACCAGTGACCAGGAACCCATTTGGAGGTGTTTTCCAGGTGTGAGATTTCTGGAAGGGCTCTGGAGGCCCCGGCCCTAGACTCTGCACCTCCCAGAACCCCTGTGAAAGCTCTGTCTGATCTTGGGGCTCTCAACAGAGGACATGCAATGCCCACACATTACAGCTTGCATAATAAAGCATACTCACTGATAACGACTTGCACAATTCTTTAAAAATAAACTTTTTTTTTTAGTTGAGGTCTCACTCTGTCACCCAGGCTGGAGTACAGTGGCACAGTCACAACAATCACAGCTCACAGCAACCCTGACCTCCTGGGTTCAGGCAATTCTTCCACCTCAGAATTCCGAGTAGCTAGAGCTACAGGCTTGCACCACACACGTCTAATTTTTTTTTTTTTTGAGTTGCAGTCTCACTCTGTCACCCAGGCTGGAGTGCAGTGGCACGCTCACAGCCACTGCAGCCTCGACCTGCTGGGCTTAGGTGATCCTTCCACCTCAGCCTTCCAAGTAGCTGGAACTATAGGTGCACGCTACCATGCCAGGCTTATTTTTTTGATTTATTGTAAAGACAAGGTCTCACCAAGTTGCCCAAGCTGGTCTCGAACCCCCAGGCTCAGGCAATCCTCTTGCCTCGGCCTCTCAAAACTGCTGGGATTACAGGCTAAACCACTGCACCTAGCCCTACATTTTTTTTGTAGAGATGAGGTCTTACTATGTTGCCCAGCCTGATCTTGAACTCCTGTGCTCAAGCAATCCACTAGCCTCAGCCTCCCCGTGCCCATGAGGGTGCCATCCACGGTGGCTGCCTGTGTCTGCCTACCTGAGGAAGGCTGTCCACACTTCCTCCCGGTGGGCTGTGGCTCCAGATGGCCCCATGGAAACTCCCTCGGAGGATTCCATCTGAATCACGCTCTTGAACTGTCCCTTGTGAGGATGTAGTAAAGTCAGTCTGCCCTTTGGTGCCTCACTCACAAAGCCGTCTCACAGAAGCTGTGGCGAAAGTGGCAGACAGTCTCCAATTCCAGCTCCTCCTTCCCCTCTGAGGCGCCCTCCATGCACACATGGCCTAACCATTCGGGAAACCCCTGTCACAGGCTGGGCTTCCCGGGAAGTGCACTCTGGGGTGAAGATTAGCCTGCATCCTCATGTTGAGGGACTGGTTTGGGGATAACACCTGTGGAAGGGGAGGGGAGATGCAGGATTGGGTGGAAGGAGAGGTCATGGGGCTAGGGTCCTTGCTGCATCAGCAGTCAAGCATGTCTGAGGAGTGGGTGATCGTGCCAACACTAAATACTCCTGCAACCACACATCTGCAGACTCAAAGCAAGCGTTTTTGATCATGATGAAAGTGGAGACAATTACTCCGCTAAAGAGTTGCGAGAAGGTGAAGGGGAGAAACTCTGAGCCACTCTGAGAACGGAAATGGGAACATGAGAAGTGGAAAAGGGCAGGGCCCTGGATCACCGAGAGTTTTGACCTTCCCCAAGGGTCTGCCTCCCGAGGAGCAGCTGTTCATTTGCTAGCTCATTCATGAGGCATTTTCTGTGCTGGGCCCTGGGGACACCGGCTTGAGACCCTCTGCCTATACATATCCCTGACAAAGGGGGCACAAGCATAGGGGAGGGAGAGAAAAGGAGGGGGGAGACCCCAGAAGGGTCACACATCTTTTACATTGACAGACAAGGTAGGGATGAGTAAGACTGGCAGGAGGAGGAAGGCCAGCCTGGCCTTGAGCACCCCTGTTTATGACAACACGTCCATGGCACACCACCACTTGAAGCGTGCAATTCGGCAGCACAAAGTACATTCATGTTGCCGTATAAGCATCACCAGTAGCTAATTCTACAACGCTTCCGTCAAAACCCAAAAGGAAATCCCCTGCCCAGTAAGCAGTCACTTCCCCTCTAACTCCCAGCCCTGATGACCACCCCCGTCTACTCGGATATGTCTACTGTGGACATCTCAGTGGAATCATGGAACGTACGGCCTTTGGTCTCTGGGTTCTCTCCCTTAGCCTGATGTGTTCAAGGTTCACCCAGGTTGCAGCCTGTGTAAGAACTTCACTACTCCTTTTTATGGCTAAGTAACATTCCATCGTGTGGACAGACCACATTTTGTGTTTCCGTTCATCCGCCGACAGACACGTGGGTTGTTTCCACCTTTTGCCTCTCGTGAGTAGTGCTGCTATGAACGTTCACAAACAAGTTTCTGTTCAAATACCTATTTTCAGCTCCTCAGAGCTTATACGTAGAAGTGGAGTGGCTGACCAGTTGATGCTTATGAGGAACCTCCGCCCCCTCTTTTTACAGCTTTTCATAGAGCCATGGGGCTGGAAGGGCCCTCAAAAGTGACCTAAAATAGTGTTGCTCAGACTTTTGGATTTCTCACATCACTAAAACGAAAACAACCATCACTGAACTCTGCCCCTCCCAATGCAGGAGAAACTTGCATCAGCTTCAAAGCCAACCATGTGAAATGAAGATACTCAGTATCAGGCCAACTCTGCCTCATTCTTGTTTCTCTGTCATCTCCACCTGGTACTGGCACCAGGGAACCACGTGCTGGGTGCAATTTCCACTCAAAGTCTGCACCCCTTCTCCAGCTGCCCTGGCACAGGGGGCAATGCTCCCTGTCCCAGGCAGCTGTGACCCCTAGACCATCCTTTCTTGGGGAGCACTGGCCCCAGGCCCACAGCCTCCCCAGTGCCCTCGCCCCGCCTTCCAGGCCTCCTCAGCCTCACTCTACCTCCTCTTGCTTTTCTAAGGCTCCCTGGGGCTGGGCATGCCAACAGGGCCAGGGAGGCGCTGACGAAGCAGTCCTTTTATTTGGGAAGATTCTAAGAAGAAACAAGAGAAACGCCAAGCTATTTACAGTCTTGCAGAACCCCCCCCACCCCAAATTGTGAACAAGCTGCAGAGACTAAATAACGAGTTCTCATTTATTGGTGTTGCTAGGTATATTCTGATTCCATGTTACTTTCTGCCCTGACAGGTCACAAGACGTCACAAAGAGAAGGCGAGGTGATACCTGCATTCCAACCAGACTGGCCCTTGTGAGCTGTGTGACCTTGGTAAAACTGGTCAACAGTTGTGCACCAGTCATCAAACTGACAAAAAGGGAAAGAAACTTGGGCAGTGTTCATGCCTCAGAAGAGCACAAGCAAAGTGGGAGGACACACTCACCATTATTTAATATACACATTTTGACAGACAAAAACCTCTCAAAAATGAAGTCCTTGCATGAAGATAACAGTAAAATGATCATAAAAAGCGTTTGATGGCGTGGAAGATGGAAACCCACTCTCTAGCGTGGAAACAAAATGGTGTCTTAATCTCTTTGCAATGGATACAATGACCCTGATGAGGGCTCTGAAGGGAAAGGCCAAGACCCACCTCAGTTACCTGGAGAGTGGAGCAAGGCCTCCTTAACAAGCATGGCCATGCCCTGTGTCTATCAGCCCTGGAGAGAAGTCTCCACGGGAAACAGGAATCTGGGAGGGTCCCTACACTGACACAAGGGCTGGTTTCATGCCACTGGACAGGGCCCCAAAGGGCCAGAAGGGGTAGGGAGGAAGGGAGTCCAGTGAGGGGACAGGGGAGCTGAAAACAGTGAACTAGGCTTTGTCTTCTGCCTCAGTCCCCTCTGTCATTCCCAAGATTTGGGAAACCATTCACTGTCTTTTGGGTACTGGCAGGTCCTAAGTCCAGGCTTAGGCTTCATGTAAAGGAGGCACAGAGTCCCCCGAGACCAGCAGGGAGCCAGGAAAACCCTCAAGAAAACCCCAAGGAGGTGACTTACCGGGAAAACCCTCAAGAAACCCCCAAGGAGGTGACTTACCACCCACCACACCCAGGGAGACTTCCTCTGCAGGTCAATCCTGCAGAATTTGGCATCAACTTTATTAGGGAAGACATTAGGTCTCTTTACATGTTGAATAGGCCCGATGAATTAATAAGACATGATTAGCCTGCTTGGAATGGACAAGGACAGCCTTGGAATGGTGCTCCCAACACACTTCTGCTGATGGTACCTTCATTTCAGGCTGCAAAATCCTCTCAGAAAGGGTCCCGGGTCCCTCAAGAGGCACTCACTTGGATGTACAGGTCAGTGCAGATATCCCCTGTTGTCCAGCCTTGGGCCTGGCCTGTGTAACAATGTCTTTGGGCAGCTCCAAGGCAAGAGGGGAACAAGAGGGGCTCCCTGCCCACTGTGCTCACTAGATCAGCTCCTGATTTGGCCAGACTGTCTTCTTTCAGTCCACATTGTTGGAAATCCTAATGATGGCAAGACCCAGAGCCGGGCATAGCTGGAGGGCGGATCCATTGGCTGACCCTCACTTCCTTGGGCTCCGATGCCTGCAGAGCCATCTCAGTTGCCGCTACCTCTTGCTGGATGTGGCTTCTTCTGGCCTCACCCACCCAGCCATGGCTACATCAGGGAAGGGGGAGAAGGAGAGCGAGAGACAGAGAGAGGATTTCAAATGTGCAACTACCATCTGTGAGACTTCTCACATCTGCACAGCTCCAGAGTAGAAAGGGCTTTCTCACTCTCACCTGATCCTCTTGTAACCAAAAGGGAAACTGAGGCTCAAGGAGATGAAGAAACATGCCCAGTATTACCCAGCGAGAAGCAGCTGAACTAAAACCCAGGGCTAGGTCTGACTAAATCCAGTGCTCTTTCCAGAGTAACATTGCCTCTATGCACCTCAAGCAACCAACAATCAGGAAAACAACTAACTGACCCTCAGCCCCTATGTTAATACAGCCTATTCATGTTATATGCTGCCTTCACGCATGCTCTTACCTGGTCTAGGGTGCCCTCTCTTCCCTGCCTGTCATTCCCAAACCCACCTTTAAGACCCAGCTCCAGGTATCCTTGAGGACTACCCAGGGTGAGCACGAGCTGTCACTGATGACTTGCTCCGTGCCGTGTACCTGGCACACACCTTTATCACCACACCATTTTACTTTGTGCTTGTCTCCTCTAAGATACCACGGTTCCCTTGAGGGCAGAAAAGTCTTTTTTCATCTGTGGATGCAGAGGACATGCATGGGACTGCCACAAGGTAGGTGCTCAGGAAAGATTTGGTGAACAAAAGAATGAAAAAGTCATTCTCCTTGCCAAACCAGCAGGCTTCCCAATAAGAGTCTGTCACTGCGGCAAGGATGTGGGAGCCCTCCTTTTGCTAGCGGGGGCTTGGACATCCAGCACACACTGGCAGGATGTTGCCAGGCTGGGAAACAATGTCCTCCTCCCTGCTGGAGACGCCCAGGATGAAGAGCCCTTGGAGCAGGGTTCCCGCCACCTCAATCAGGGGACTCCCCTACCCTGATGTCCCACTGCCAAGCAGTCACCTCTGCAGAGGGCTTCTGGGTAGAGGTGAGGCAACCACCAAGGACCCCTGGCCCAGCAGAGGCCCTCGGGCGCCCCCTTGCCCCACTCCAGGGCTGGGAGGCTTCAGGGCTGCCACTGTCCCAATCAAGGCGTGCATTCCCAGCGGTGTCCAAGAATCCCGGTTTGCAAGAGCACCTTGGAGCATTACACTGTAATGAGAGGAGTGTGGGGAATGCCACAAGCTTCGAGGCCCCATGAAGAGGCCTGGCACATGTGTGCTGAAGGTTATGAGAAGCCCATGGCGAAGACGGTCACGTAGCTCAGCTTTAGCCCAGCCTCCACCGGACTGCTCATCATGGAACCTCCCCCCATGTCCACATATGCGCCCCCTTATCTTTAATAATCCCTGTCAACATCCCGTGGGACTACTATTCCAACAAGCACACTTTGGGAAATGCTGGTGAAGATCATTGAGCAAGGGAGGCACTTCTTGTGGACGGGAACAGCTTCCAGGAGGCAGGCTGGGGACACACGCGGGACGAAAAGGGTCCCAGGAAGGGGGTGATCAAGGTCCAGAAAGGGTGCCAGGACCTCATGTAAACTGTTTGGAAGAAAAAACCTTGAACCCAGTGAAGAAGACAACAGAGGTTCATCTGGAGCCTCAGTTTTCCTGTCTGAAAATAGGAATAATAGCTCTGCTCTGTCTGGGGTCATTCAATGAGATTACGAAGGTTTGTATCTGTGGAAAACTGACCCCAGCACCACTTCTGTGTATTGTAGGTGTTCAGTCAGACTTACCCAAGTGGAAGCTATACCAATAAACAGGTTATGGAAAAAACAGGAATATCTCAAAAAAGCAGGCACAAAACCTCAAAGCACATAATATCAGGGGCCGTGGATTTCAGGGGCAAACAATTCTGGGCCTACTGTTAACCCCCAAAGATATCAGCAAATTAACAGAGCGAGAATCACCAGTGTTTTTAGCTCCAGGAGTCTGCAGGAGATAGTGGAAAAGGTACTGGCTTGGAAGCCACCAGGTCCAGTTCTAATCCCACATCTGCTCCTTCTGGGGCATATGGCTGGCAAGCAGCTTCCCTCTTCCGAAGTACCTGTGTCCCCAGGGTTCAGGAGGAGGTTTCACAATGCTACCTCTGGAGTGACAGTAAGGACAAAATGACAGTGAGGGCAAGCTGCCAGTACACAGTAGGTGAACAATTAGCGTGTCTCCTTAAAGAAAGATGGACGGGAGGAAGCTTTATAAAGGTGACTGTCAGTAATGGCTAAAGTGAATGCTTTCTCTTCACTCATGTAGAAAGTTGGCTTCCGAGGATGAGAAGATGAGAAAGGAACAACAGCCGCTGGACCACAGAAAGAGGGAGGGAAGTATGAGCTCTGGGCAGTAGGGTAACGATCACCTCTGGAGCCAGTACAGGGGCATGGGCCTTCATGGTCAGGGGATGGACAGGTGAGAGACGGCTCCTCCCCAGGAGACCAACACGTGGCCTGGCATAACTCATGGTGAAGAGCAGAATTCTGTGGAGGCTGCTGTCTGCTGCCAGCAGATTGAGCACTTTATGCACTGGCTCCAAGCTCCAACGAAGAGACTGCAGAGCTGGATCTGAATTCTGACCCCGAGTCCAGAGTACAAGCTCCTTCCACTCTACCATGCTGCCTCTCCGTGTTGGGACTAGGTGTTTGCAGGTCTTCTCTTGCCTGTCAGAGCCTTGAGAGTGCAGAACAGCTCAGGTTTGTATACACACTCAGCATCCCTTATCCCAGAAATGCAGCAAGCAGAACATATGATGCACCGGAAAACATTCCTGAAAGTGACTGATTTTAAAAATTAAAGCCTTTCTAATATAATATGATATGGTAGGAAACTATATGTGTGTGTGTGTGTGTGTGTGTGCGTGTGTGTGTGTGTGTGTGTGTGTGTGTGTAGGAAACCCTCTGAGGAAGAGTAATCTGGAAAAATTCCAAATTCCCTACTTCTTTGCCTAGAAAACGTGTGCACTGAAGTCCTTTCACAATGTGATACATTGGTCTCTGCTCCCACCTCCAGACAGAGTCCTGCAGTGATCCAGGGTGAGCAGCAGGAAGTATCAGAGCATTGCCCTGCCAGACCCTCCATCTTGCAGATGAGGAAACTGAAAGCCAGAAAGAAGGGATCTACACAGTGGCCTCCCTTTATTCCCCCTATGTTTAAGACTATCTTTGCAATAAAGAAAAATGCATTCAACATACACATCCTAAATGCCTGCTGTATGTTGTACGCAGTAGGTGCAGTGCAGTGCAGTGCTAGAGCAGAGTCACACACAAAGCACTAAGGGACTCCGATGGCTGGGAGGGAGTCAAGAAAGGCTTCATGGGACAGGAGAGTTGGACTGGGAGGGACAAGTTAGAAGTTTCAAGAGAAGATGTGGCAGGGAGTTAGAAGTTTCAAGAGAAGATGTGGCACCTCCCACCAAAAAATGCACTCCCCACTGAAGTCGAAAGTTGTTGCTGGAAAGTCATGACCTGAATGGAGACAGCACTTCCCAGCCTCCTCTGTCCCCGTGTGGGGCCACGTCAACACGGGTGGCCAGTGGAAGGCGAACAGGAGTGATGTGTGTCAGTTCGGGGCAAGGCAGACAGGCAGTGGCTGTGCCTTCCCCACCATCCCATTTCCTTGCTGCCAGAGAAAAGCAAATGCTCTGAGGCTCCAGGGCTGGTGGAGCACAGATGAGAGGAGCTGGTCCCTGAGTCACTGTTGGAACCACCTGCCAACCAGAAGCAGCCCTACTGGCCTGTTGTATGAGACTCGGTCTGTGTGTGTCAGAGTTGGTTACAGAAACAAGCACCGCCAATGAAGGCAGCGGGGACACGACAGGAAGAAGGACTTCCAGGCAGAGGGTGCAACGAGACTAAGGCACAGAGTGAGAGTGTTTCAGGGAGTGCGGGTTAGGCCTTGGCTGTGTAAAGGTGGGTCTGGGGTTCACACAGCTCACACTGGTGGCCACAGGAAGGAGCGTCACGTACTGGGGCTGTTGCCAGGGGCCCTGGTGTTGCTGGCGCTACTCTCAAAGGAAGAGTGGAAGTTGTGAATGGTTTCCTGTAAGATTTGCCTCTCGCGTCCCTGTGGAGGAAATTGAAAACAGACACAGAAAGTCTTGTTAAACCTTTTAACCATTAATTCAATTGACACAATGTTGTTAATGTTCGACTCATACTTGAAAAACCCCTCGGTGTCTTGGGAAAAATAAATTACCTAATTGAAAGAGTACCAAGTTTAATAAAAACATACTGAGTCAGAATCTCCCCCAGCACCCACCATTGCAGTCTGTCAGTGCTGGAGAGGCCCCTAAGATGCAGGAGTCCAGTCCCCTGGATGAGGACGGGAGGCAGAGCTGGAGAGCAAGACTGCCTTGTCCCAGGTCTCATGGCCTGGAAGGGAGGTCTCCTCCACATCCCTTCTCTGTGCATCTTCCCAGCCCTCAGATTTCCAGAGAATTCAATGGGAGCCAAATTTCTTTCTGATACAGAGAATTTGATCTGCCTTTGCTCCTACTTGCCCAAAAGATGTCAGATTCCTCTTCACAGAGATTCACTTCTCACCCCTTGCCTATAACATGTTTCTATCCCAACCCTCTTATACATACATTTTGAGATGGAAAAAGAGGATAGATGTAAATTTTTGTTAAGCCCAGAGAATATCTTCACTGAATACCTGGTTGAGAGGCAGCAACATGGAGAGGTTAAAAACAGAGACTGGGCCAAGAAAGGTGGTATGTGCCTATAGGCCCAGCTACTCAACTGAGGCAAGAGGATTACCTGAGCCCAGGAGTTCGAGTACAGCCTGGGCAACATAGCGAGACCCTGTCATACCCTGGGTTCAAAGCCCATCTCTCTTGCTTACTAGCTAGGTAAAGATACTTAATCTCCCTAGGACTTAGTCTACTCAATTCCTCATTGCGGCCTCGCAGATAGCAGCATCCCCATTTTACAGATCAGAGACTCAGCAGAAGGGGCATGTGCCTGGGATGCCTCTATTATCAATGGTGGGGAGAATAATAGTACCCCAAGTAATTGATGCTGACATCAGACTCTATGTGGACAGCTGGAGGTAGACAGGTCCTACCCCTAGAGGGTAGCAGTAGGGATTAAACTTATTTTTAAAAATGAACTAGAGTGTGGTCAAAACGTAAGTTAAAAATGTATAATCTCTGGCAAATTGTTCTCTCCCAAGAATAAAAAAGGAAAGGAAAAAAAAAAAGTCCACTGAATGAGCCCAGACTTCTCTCTTTTTTTCATTTCATGGGCTTCCCACACCTCAGAGGGGCCCCTCTCAGGACACCCAAGCAGAGACCTCTTGTGCTGACAAGGCCTCCTAGACACCTGAGAGGACAGTAAGATACTCCCTTCATGCCACTCCTTCAAATAAATAAGCTGAAAAAATAAGCTTTAAATAAGCTGAAAAAATGCCCCTAGGAGTTCATCGACACAAATCTAAAGGTTCAGGGGTAGAAGAACAGAGCATCGGGTGTGTGGTCATGGGATCTGGAATTCCTCCACCACCACTGATTGGTGGAGGCATCTCAGCACATCCCCCTTCCACTGAGTCTCTGATCTATAAAATGGGGATGCTGTTACCTGCAGGGCGCAAGGAAGCTCCTCCTGAGATAATGAATGGGGCAGCAAACTGCAGAGGACTAAAAACGTAAACAGAGGGATGCTAAGCGATCTTAGCACTCAACACTGCTTGGGTCTTAATTGTCTGAGAAACAAGGTCAGGGCAAGACAGGGTTCCAGCACTCACTGCCTCCTAGACTCTGGAGGAAGCTGCAGATGATTAAAATCATCATCATTTCCTGCACTCACAAGTGATTGAAGATTAAAAAAATCACTGCCCTTTAAAAATCCCTGAGTTTCAAAGGACCTGCCTGATAATTCTCAAAAGGAAAACAACAACAACAAAAAAAATGGTCAATAAATGTGGGAAAAAAGTCCAACATAGTTAACATTTCAAGAAATGTAAATTAAAATGAAGAAATTTTTTTCCTATTAAGTTAAAACCTGCACATGTATCCCTCGAATCTAAAATAAAACAAGTAAAAGTAAAGGTTAAAAAACAAACTGAGAGAACTCAATACTGGCAAGGTTGCAGTGAAACCAAAACTCATATCTACCATGGTGAGACAGTTCACTGGCTCCTTCTGGAAAGAAATTCAGATGTATACAACCTTGATTCTGACGCTTTGACTTAGTTATTCCACTAGTAGACATCTATTTGGAGGAGACAATTAGAAAGGCTCATACACGAAGTTGTTCACCACAGCACTATTTATACCCAGTTTGAATATCTACATAGCCAACAAGTAAGAAATTTTTTTAAAAATTAATTTTAGCATCTCTATGCAAATGTATTACATGAAAAAGAGTTCTTAATGACATGGGTAGCTGCATATATTTCATGTTAAAGAAAGTAGGATATAAAATTATAGATCCAAATTTATCTCAGCCACATTAAAAAAAAATTTGAGGGTACAGTGATATGCACCTGTAATCCAAGCTACTTGAGAGGCTGAGGCAGGATTATCCTTTGAGCCCAGAAGTTAAGTTCAAGGCTAACTTGGGCAACACAGTCAGACCCTGTCTCTTAAAAAAAAGAAAAAAAAAAAAAATGACACAAAACACTGCAAAGTAATCTGCCCAAAAGTGTACAGTATTGGCCTCTGGGTGACTGGATAGCAATTTCTTTAAAAAAAAAATCCAAAAAACTTTTCACTGCATTGATCTTGTGCAAATTTGGTAAAATGAGTATGTGTTGCTGTGAAATGGGCCCACAGAAGGAAACAGTGGCTTAGAACCAACTAACTCATCATTTCTGGTAAACCACCAATATATAACTCATAAGAAATTAACAAAATAACAAGCAGACTTGAGTACACCTCACAACACAAACACAGGGTGGGTTCTCCTAGAAGTTAATGGCTTGCAGGCTGAGAGTCTATAATGCTATGCCTACTAATACTTGCTGATATTATCATATTATTATGAGCCAGGTTTTTGGTTAATAATTAAAAAGTTTAGCCTAAAATGCTCAAATGATTTTTGATTTTATAAGAAATGCATTTTATATCATAATCCTGTTTCATGTAAACATATGAGGGAGGATCCAGAAATCCAGAATTATCTTTTTGGAGGGCGAGCCCCTTGTAGTACACTTGGCACTTGTTCTTTGGAATCAAACAGTCAACCAAAGTTTTTATCTGGAAGTTTTGAGGAGGTTACATCATGATTTGTGGAAGAAACTCCTGAGTTTTGGCAAATGAATAACTAGTTCTTCCAACCAGTCCATACCATACAGAGTGTCCAGCAGTTTTTGACCAAAAACAGCATGGGGACCCCCATGCCCACCCTTCCGGTTCACCCAACCTCACCCTGAATGACTTTTTTTTGTTTCCCTGGATGAAAAAAGTCCTCAAAGGGAAAAGTTGGCCAGTGTCGAAGAGGTAAAACAAAAAACAGCAGAAGTGCTAAAAGGCACCAAAATTGACGAGTTCAAAAACTAATTTAAACAGTGGAAAAAGCATCTCCATAGGTGTACTGCATCAAATGGAGAGTACTTTGATAGTGACTGAAGTTTAAACATGTAAGAATAAGTACACAATTTTAATAAATAAATTCCAAGTGTTTGGGGTCCTTCCTCGTATATAACTAAAACAAGTATTGTCCTTCCCATCTACAGACCATGTCAATATTGTCTATTTTCCAAAAATGCTGCTTTTGACTCAGCAAATGGATTGGGCTGTGGACCACAGCTAGGAAGACACTGGGGACACAAAGGGCTGCTGCCCCTTGCATGTGTCCCAGTCTGGGCTCTCCAACGTGTACAAAGCACTCGATCCCTACAGTGGGTACTCTCTTGGCCAAAAGAAGAAGTATGGACATCAGGAGAAGCTCATACCCTAAGGCAATCAAAGAGGCAGGAGCTCCCCAAGTCAGGATCAGGCAGATCCAGTCCAGAAGAACCAAAGTCCAGGGCATCTGAAGGCCTTAGGAAGGCTCTTGGAAGCCACCTTTGGCCTGAGGAGTTCTTTGCTCATTCTAAGAACCAGCTGCAGTAGTAACTTAACAGTGCAGCAAAAGTTACATTTGGTTCTGTACCATTACATTCCTTCCAATCATGCCTCTTCTCTAGGACACAGTATGACACATGGCTCTCACTTCCAGAGGACTTTGCCTGGCACTACTGACCCCTGAAGAGCCGGACCTCTCTGCAGGAGGAGGTGCAGACTGGCCCCTTCCTCTTGCTCCTACTGCTATGTGGAATCACCCGACTTTTCAGGAAGGACATGGTGGGGTTAAGTGGTGCCCTTAGTCTGGCATGTCAGAGGCACCCAGGTCCCTTGGCCGGGAGCTTGTGAACTGGGGCCCAAAGGAGGACCACCCACGGCTGTCCCTTCTGCTTCTCCCTATGCTATGGGGCCTGTTTTGCATTGGATGCAGACTGTTGTAGAAACAGGAAGTAGGAGGCAATGAGTTTGAGAGAAAACTGAAAAAATGTTCCACACTGTATAAACTTTAAGAAAAACGTGGGCTCAGATGTCACACTGTTCTCTCTGATGAGGCCAATTAGGTTTCCTAAGGTTTGCAAACCAGCCCAGGCTGTTTTCTTTGTGCTCCCGGGCCAAGGAGGCCACAGTCACAGAGGTCAGAGGGGAAGCTCCAGAAGCATTAGCAGTTGCCATCTCATGGCCCCAGCTCCTGGTCTATCCTCTGACTGCCCAGTGTCCAGACCTTTTCTGTCCTCCTTCCTTAACAGGCTTAAGCCTGGCTTCCCTACACCCTCTACCCTCTCCTTGGCTCACACATCAGGCCCCTGAGGACAGGAGGAGGAAGGCCACAGCTCCTCACCATCATTCACCACCCCTCACCCAAAGCCCTTGCCCTTAGTTGACTGGGTCACCCTCAACCACCCTGGGGCCCTTCCTCTGTTCCCTTGGGCCTCCCCTCATGCCGAAGCTTCGGCTACTTCTTGAGCTCTTTAAACACACCACACATCTCACCACAGGGCCTCTGCACGTGTGCTGCCCTTGGCCTGGTCTGTACTTTTTTTGCTGCTGATTTCCTTGGATCCCTAACAGCAGAGACCTGCCCACCTCTGGCAACCTCTGTACCTGCCTCAGCCTGTGCCCTGACCTCCTACCCTGACTCATCATGCCCAACAGCAGAGCAGAAGTGGTGCTGGTCTGGAAACGAGGGGCCACTATCTAGCTCTGGGTTGGGGCTTCCCTATCTGTAAAGGGAGGCAGTCCAGGCCCATGCAACAAGCGAGAAATGTTTAGAAACAGGCCTTCTGCAGAAAGAACAAATAGTAAAGACTGGAGGAAAAATATGCGGTCTTGCAAATGCCTGAAGTAATGCTAACTAAATCACTGTGAAGGATCACCTCTCAGCCTACAGATAAGTAATAACAACCATGATGACAACGACGACCACCATCGCCTTCATTACTGGCAGGGAGGAGAGAAGGAGGGCAGAAGTCCTGGCTTTAGATTCTGCCTCAGCTGCCCACCACCACGTGACCTGGGTACAGTCCTCGCCTCCTAGACCGGCTCCCTTGCTAGCTAGACAAGGTAAGTGTTAGGCGACAGGCCTCCCGGGACTGACTCGGGGACTGATGAGGAAATGTATGCAAAGTGATTTGGAAATGATAAACTGCTATAGAAATATTTATTTGCTGCTGGTGCTACACATCTGTTCAACATTTCTGTGCATAACCCAGCAGTACGCAGAAAGAGCCATAAAAGCAGCCATGCTCTCTGACATCACCTCACATCATGGAACACAGCCATTATGGCACTACTGCAAAATCCCAGACCTGACACTATCGTCCAACAAGCGGGAAGCCATTGGGCAAAGTATGAAACAGCAGCCGATAAGCAGGCATTAAACACCACTGCCGGAATGAGAAACAGAAACATCCATCCTACATTAGGAAAAAAAGCAGAAGGCAAAGGAATTTAAATAGCCCAACAGCAACAACGAATGACTGCAGAGGGAGGGAAGGTTTGCCTTTTCTGTTTTTGTTTTTTGGTTCTTTTGGGGGCAGGGGGAGGGGCATTGCTAATCTGTAACTTTAAAGATGATGAGACAGAAATTTCACATTAGACAAAATGTGAGGTGCCAACAATAACCACAGTGACTGGTGGATGCATGTGCCAGGTGTTGTGCTGAGCACTTAGTCTATACCACAACGCCATCACCCTCCTGCTACAGTGAGGACAGAGAGGCACAGACAGGTGTGCGCCTGGCCCTAAGGGACATGGGAACAAGTGCAAGGGAAGGGTGGGGATCCAAGCCCGGGTCAGCCTGACTCCAGGGCCCATCTGAACCAGGAACTGCCTCTGTGGTGCTCCCGAGGGCAATAACCAGCTGTGGGTTGAAAATACTTGTTGGAACACTTTAGCTGAATCTGGGAGAAAACCACCTCATGGGGAGAGAGGTCTGAAAATGGAACAGGCCACGTTGGGAGGTAGTGAGTGCTCGGTCAGGAAAAGTGTACAAGCAAGACTAGCTCTGTCAGATAAGCCAAAGGAGATGAAGTTAGACCTCCAGGGGACCCCAGAGCCCAAGTGAAGCTCTCAGCTGTCTGAAACAAGAAAAGAAAAAAGACTAAAAACAATACCTTGCCCGCATTCAGTTCAGAAATCGCTGCTAGAATCTGCTGCCTGGATCCATCTGTCTTAATCCCCAGCTCCTTCAAGTCACCGTCAGTCAGCGTGAGGAATGCTTCCATATCCACCTGGGAAGAGGGGGGATTCACCACCATCTGCTGGATGCCACACTCTTTGTTCCCAACCACAATAGAAACATCCTGATCATGAGCCATGAGTACTTATTAGTAGTGAACTGATTATGATTTACTACTTTCAATTCCTGACTTTACGTTCAAAGTTTTGTTGAAAATATTATTAGAAGCTAACTCTTCAGTTCTAGCGCTAGTATTTTCCAAATAGATGCATTCTGGAAAGACCCTTAAAATGACACAAATAAGAAAAGTCTTCAAAATAGTAACCTGGATGGCTATAATGGTAGATATCCAAGTCCTGTGGAAAGGTAGCTCCGAGGTTACCACACCTTTAACACTACTGGACACTGCATAGGAATGTGTGGTAGTGTGGCAGTACTCACTTTGCTTCCCCCACAGAGGACCAGAGGGATGTGGACTGTGCAAAGACGGAGTGAGGAAATAAGCAGAAACAGTAAGGGAGAGAAGGGTTGTAGAGAACGAAGCAGAGGAGGGCTCAGAACAAGGGCATCTCAAAATCACGCAAGGCTTTTTCTTTTTTTGAGTCAGGGTCTCATTCTGTTGCCCAGGTTGGTGCAGTGGCATGGCCATGGCTCACCGCAGCCTCAAACTCATGGGTTCAGGCGATCCTTCTGCCTCAGCTGCTCACGTAGCTGGGACTACAGGTGCACACCACCATGCCTAACTAATTTTTTTTATTTTTTGCAAAAATGAGGTCTCACTATGTTGTCCAGGTTGGTCTTGAATGCCTGGGTCAAGCAATCCTCCCACCTCAGTCTCCTCCCAAAGTGCTGAGATTATAGGCATGAACCACCATGCCTGGCCAAAACTATACAACCCTTGCTTGCCATGGGGGAGATCCTAACAGCTCTGCCCTGCTGCAGCCCTGGAAGGAAATCAGGCCTGCTGCTCTAGGAGATAGGCACTGGCCTCTGTTCCTCTAAGCCATACTGGACTTTAAGTTTGCAAACCACATATCCTAGTGATGGTTAACTGTCTACCTCCACACAAGAGGCCACAGATCTTTCTAGCCCGTGTCTACTTCAAGCTCATGGGCAGCAGAAGTAAGTCCACGCTGTCCAGGCCCTGTCTGGTGAGGTTCCACTCTCTTCTCCAGACATGATGACCCTGGCCCAATCCCAACCAGGCCAGAGGCCAGTGATGCTCTGAATGAGTCCTGCTCCCTCTTCCCAGATGCCCTTCTAGCCCCTCCTCCTCTTCCTCCAAAGTTCAGCTTAACTCTCAGCTCAAGTCCCCTATGGTCTTCATTTTGTAGACCCCTTCCCTGGGCTTCTGGGAGTTTCTGTATTTCCCAGTGCCAGGCTCTGGCAGAGGATTTGATAGAGGGCAGAGATTCAAGCAGTGTTTGCTGACTGAATGAATGACCACATCAATCAATCTGCTTCTGATTGTCCATCTGCACTGAACTTCTCAACCTCTGACCTCCACCAACCCTGCGGCATGTCAACCCTCATGGCTCATTTTAGGGGGAGCACACTAGAGGATGAATTTCCCTCCCGTGAGTACTTGAGAAGGGTTAGCAAGGACAAAGGAGACACAGCCCAGTATCCTTTCGATATCCATGCCCATTTTCTTCTTTTAAGTAACAGAAACTCAGTTTTCAGCTGGACACATTTCCACACAGCTAAGACACTATATTTCTGAATTTCCCTTGCAGATAGGTATGTCAGGTAACAAATGCCTGGCCAGTGAGATATAAGGCAGGTGGCACTTCTGGGAAGTCTCCTTACAAAGCAGAGAATGTGTCCATCGCACTCTCCTCCCTGTCCTGCTGTGGAATGTGGACTCCGGGGACACCAGCCACACACCCCAGTGTTGGCAAAGCCAAGAGTCGAAGGAGCCTACATTACTTACTTCCAAACTTTCTGTGGGAAAGATAATCTTGTATTTTGTTTAAGACACCATTATTTTTTTTTGTTGCAATACATGTAGACAAATCAAATCTATCCTAATACAGGTAAAAAGATAAAAAGTTCCAATATGGCAAGATGAGAGCACATATTAACTTCGTTCCTCTTCCAAATTTTCACTGATGACTACAAGCATATATTAACAGGGAGAAACTTTTCACCAGTGCTGGAAACCAGGTAAGAGTGCTATTCCAGTGCCGGATACATCAAGGAGCTTCTGTGAGGGCCCAAGAAGTACTTTGTAGCTGTGGGACTGTGTCCAGAGACAGTGGTGGAGGGTAATTAGTGGGGCCAAAATCTTAGTCCTACTAAAGCCTCCAAGGGAAACACTGGGCTGTGGGTTCACAGAGAGGGTGAACCACTACCCCACCCCATCCCAAAGAGTGAACCAGTTTATATGCTGCCCAGAGAGAAACTACGTAAAAAGAGGAGATGCTGAGCTTGGCTCCTAGCAAGTGCAGCACCTGTGTCAGGTAGAGTCCAGGGCGCTGTATGGCTAATCTCACACAACCCTCGCACAGAGAAATCCTCCAGTCAGTGGCTTCCAGCTCTCCCCAAGGTACCTCCTCAGGATGTGGCTCTACCCTGAGCCCAGAGGCTGCAGAGACTTTGAGGCAGAAGAGTTAAAGCTACAGCTATAGCAAATCTGCATGGCCTGTCTTTCCCCTTCCCTTTAACATTCCTAAAGCTGGAGCAACATCAGTTCCCGACACTGGACAGTGGCAGCAACCTCTGAATGATAGATGACAGGTGAGCCTCCAGACATGCCAGTTGAAAAGGTGGCAAAAAAGCCAAGAAACCAGGACAGATGTTGCCTTCTGGACCAGAGACAAAGGTACCTCAAGAAGCAGAAGTAGACTTTGAGATGTGCTCTTGTATACACCAAGAGAAAACAGAACACATAAAACAGCAGCAGGCAGACATCAGCAAACAGAAAACAATGCTTGGAGATAAGAAAAATGGCTGCTGAAGTTTAACCCTTTGCACTTGGATGTCCCCTTTGAGGGACATGGTAAATCTAGCAAACCTCTCGGATGTCCCCTTTTAGGGGACATAAAGAGATTGTTGGTGATTATATATGACAAACTTATGCAAGCACACATTTTTAAAAAAATGTATGTTTTCTTGAAGTTTTCCATTCAAATTATATGCAAAAGCAAATAAAGAGATGGAATATATACTGAGATATGATTAATCAGTTGAGAAGTGGTTTTCAGAAATCACGAGTGTGTCCTTCCACCTCCTCTTAGAACAACAGACTGGAAAATAAATTACATATTATTAATGTGGGAGAAGGAAAACGAGAGTGCATTGTCTGCTTGAATAGAAAAACATCAGGTGGAAGGCGTCAAACAAATTACTATTCCACAACATGTATTAATGAATCTGCATTCCATGTTGGGGACTATTTCACATGTAACCACATGTTAGAAAAATATACGATATACAATTTTGATTTTTTTTGCCATAAATAAGTTCCTCAAAGTTCAAAATTCCATTGTAAGCCAAATATCATTACAATAAAATAATTGGTTCCAATGCTATACTATTTAATACGAAGTGGTTCTTTTTTCACTATTTCACAAAAAAAGTGTGGTCAGGTTGCTGGTAAGTGATGCGCAAGGTGTCTCTGAGTTAAAACAGGGGTTCCCAACCTTTTTGGCATCAGGGACCAGTTTTGAGAAAGATAATTTTTCTACAGATGGGAGACTGGGGGAATGGATCATTTGGCATTAGATTCTCAGAAGGAGCATGCAACCTAGATCCCTCCCATGCGCAGTTCACAACAGGGTCCGTGCTCCTATAAGAATCTAATGCTACCACTGATCTGACAGAAGGCAGAGCTCTGCTCATCCACTGCTCACCTCCTGTTGTGCGGCCTGGTTCCTAACAGGCCACAGATCGCCCCCTGGATTAAAACACCAAAGAGGTAGGAATGAGAGACTGGATACAGTAGAAAAGCAAACTGAGGAAGAAAGCCGCTGCACTCCCTGTTTGTTTCTTGAACTAAAATATACACTCCTCAAATGCACCTCAAGCTTGGTGGGGACAATGAGTGACTCTCATGACTGCTACTACAATTATGACAGTTTTCAGGTACCAAGCTGGTCACTAGAACGGTCTAAACTAGTGATTACACCCTAGTGGTTGGCGGGCCTGTGGAGGAGTTTTATTTGTTTAAAACAGTACACTTTTAACAGCTTCCTGAGATATAATTCACCTTTTTAAAGTATACAATTCAATGTTTTTTTAATACAGTCACAAAATTGCACAACCATCACCACACTCAAGTTTAGAACATTTTCATCACGCCAAGAAGAAACACTGTGCCCACTAGCAGGCACTCCGATTCTCCCCTCCTTCCACTGCCTGGCAACCACTGATGATCCACTTTCTGTTTCTATAGATTTGCCTATTCTAGACATTTCACAGAAATGAAAGCATACCATATGTGGCCTTCTATGATTGGTTTATTTCACTTAGTGTGACATTTTCAAGATTCAATCATGCAACATGTGTCAGCATTTCATTATTATTATGGCTGAATAATATTTCATTGAATAGAGGTACCACATGCAAATTGTCTCCACTTTGGGGCTATGATGAATAATACCTTGAGTATTTGGGTACAAGTTTTTGTGAGGATGTATACCTTCATTTCTCCTGGGGATATACCTGGGAGTAGCATTGCTGGGTCATGTGCTTAACATTTTAAGGATCTGCCAGGCAGTAAAACGGTGATTTTTGAAAATGTGAATCTGAATGCCTAAACAAACAGGAACTCTCTCAGATCACCACAGCCTCCACATCCAGACACGTAGCACAGACGCCTCAGGATTTGCTTTAAACCTATAAGCCTGCCAGTCAACTGCCCACAGAAAAACTGTTTTCAAGACAGATGTAAACTTTTCTAGAGAGCGCAGTGTTAAAAATTACAAAATTCTACCCTAACAAAGCAAGCCACAAGGTCCCCAGAATTTCACTGTAACCAACTGAACAAAATGTGCCAAACATGAATTCTATTTCCTCAGCTGTCTCACTGAAAGAGATCTAGGCTTGCAAATTAAAACCTATGTATTTAGACAAAATTTTCTTCAACAGTAAGATTTAAATTGACATTCAGAAAGAATATCCTTACCTCTTGTTCCTCAAAAATGGGCTGATATTTCTCAAGTGATAATTTCTTAAGGATTCCAGTCAGTTCATCTTCAAAGGGAAAGATGTGGGGGAAAAAAACATACCAAAACATTTTAGAATTTGGTAAAATGTATTTTTAAAAAGTGGTCTTCAAACGTCCATAAAATAGTGGCAATCTTACTTCAAATGAAATTCCACAAGAGGCCCCAACACGGCGAGCAGATCCAAGCTATGCTCCTATGGATGAGGCTGGAGGTGGTTCTGAGCTGCTTGCCCACCACACCCTTCCCCTCTGGGCAAGCCCAGGACTCAGTTTTGATCTCATCTTGTGTTACATCAACCCAGTGCTGGCCTGTTAAATATTATACCAACACCCAGCACAGGTTACGGCACCTGGTAACCGCCCAAGAAGCCTTCCTGAAACAGTGTGAAGCTTAGAAGGTGGTGTCATCAAGGCCTTGCTGCCTCCAGCATGAGTCCAGAGAGGGGGACACAGGTGGACAGATGGGGTGGGGGAAAAGCTGCGTGCGTCCTCAGCTGGAGCCCCATGTTTCCCGGAACCATATCGCAGAGAAGAGCTGTTTGGGATGGATTGCAGTCCCTGGCCTGTAGCCATCTTTTTTTGTTTGTTTGTTTTTTTGAGTTGGAGTTTCACTCTGTCGCCCAGACAGGAGTGCAGTGGCCGCTCCCGGCCACCGCAGCCTTGACGCACTGGGCTCCGGCGATCCTTCCACCTCAGCCTTCCGAGTAGCTGGAATTACAGGCACACGCTACCACGCCCGGCTGATTTTTGATTTATTGTAGAGAATGGGTCTCGCTGCCCAGATGGGTCTCGAACCCGCAGGCTCAGGCAATCCACTCACCTCAGCCTCCCAAAGGCGCAGGATTACAGGCTGAGCCACCGAGCCTGGCAACCTGTAGCCATCTTATACCCACAGAGCAAAGGTCTCATTGTTTCATGACCCAGGAACTCCTAAAGGGAAAATCAAGTTTCCTAAACCAGATAAATTAATTTAAAAATAAACCACTGTTGGCTTTCTTCTTCTTCTGTTTAATCCCAATTGGGGCTTTGCAAATCTTTTTTTGTAATGAACAAGAGGGAAAAAGCAAGCACAGGCAGTCCACTCAGACACCTGCCGTCCGACAGGACAAGAATACCTAACTGAACCTCTAGGCACTTAGATTCCTGAAAACCTCAGAGCTGGGAGAATCCACAAGTCGGGAACTCAAGATTCCACCTAGAAAATACGGTTAGGGAGGAGTGAGGTTGCTAGTGAATCTCTGCAGCCTTGACAAATAATCGCACTGGATATCCCAAAACAATAAAAACGGCCCTCAAATAAAGAGGATACCAACAGCAGTGGGCATTTATCAGCCAGGGACAGACTCGGCCTGTGCAGCAGATTCTAACTTATCTTGCTCGGCAGAACCTGCCCAGCACCTTCCTCCTCAGCAGCTGCCGCGAGCTGCCTGCAAATGTGTTTGCGAGGACCATACATACAATAGACTTTCCACCTCTCTGATTTACACTCCTTGGTCTGCACCTGCCTGGGCCCTCCGTCTCACCAAAGCTCCCTGCCTCTTTCCCCCTCCCAGCTCCTAGGAGCCACCAGAGGGCAGCTTTAGAGGATGGGATTCTTTTCTTCATCTTGCTTTATCTCTCCTAGGCCTGCCTGCCTCAATGCAAAGCCTCCACTCCTGCCCTGCCATCTGCTCCATCCTCCTTCCCCCAGTATTCCCACAGAAGGGGTCTGGAATTCACACAGGAAGGTTACAAGCTTCTCCTGGTCGCAGCGGCCATCCTTTGCTTTTGCTTGCCCATATCCAAGCAGCATTTCTGTTTTTCTCTGAGGAGTCACTTCTTTCCACTTGTAATCCACAAATGTCAGTAGGACAGACTCTGGCTCCAGCTCCAGAGTAGACAACTGACCGGGGCCTAGCCAGCCAATTCACTCACCTCTGTGGGCACAGAGATAGTCAAGGATGGGCAAATGACGAAGTCATTATAGACACTGCCAAGCCAATGACTTTCACCCTTGGGATTTTGCTGGACCTGCTGAGAAAATAGCACTTTTTCTGCTGGGGTTGCAAAATTAGCAGAAGGTCCCAGTCAGCCTGAAGCTGCTTGCCACCAGCTGGAGAGGACCTACCTGAGCTATGGAGAGAAATGCTCCCAAGCACCTGGATCCAGACATGCCTGAAGCACACCCTAGACACTTCTTTCACATGAGCCACTGAATTATGGGTTTTCCTCCCCCCCGAACCAGTTTGAGTGGAGAGACTCCTTCACTTGCAACTAAAAGAATCCTGATTCATACAGGGAAAGAAAATAACTCAGTGTTGGAGAAACACTTCCATAGGTATATGTTTGTGCCTATAAACAAAACACACCTATATTCAAAAACTATTTGAGTGAACTCACCTTACCTCTGGCATAGTCCAAAATGCAAGGTAGAATCAGGGAAGGGGAGAGACATGTTTGTTTGTTGGTTGTAAAATTTTTTAAAACCTCACCTAGGATGGTTACAGCAATTAAGGGCACCTGGAGGCTCAGTGCTGCCAGGTCGCCATGGTGAGAGGAACAGGTGTGTTTCAGGACCCCGGGGACTCACCCTCATCTGTGATAGTGCCACTGCTGGAGCCCCCGCTGCTCTTGGACTGCCGATGAGATGAGGAGGAGGACACTGAGGATTCTGCTGTGTGCCCTTTGGGAGAAGGGGAGGGTGTGAGGGTGGGGGAGGTGCTCTTGGAGGTGGTGGAAGTTCCAGATGGGGGCCTTTTGCTGGTCTCCAGCTTCTGCTAAAGAGAATAAGATGGGTATATAAGCCATCACTGGGAGGGTAGGAACGATGAAAGCAGACACCCACAACAGGGAACACGGGTGGTATGTGACTCAACACGATGTTTAACCAAGACTACGAAATCTACTTAAAAACATGCAAAGCAGAAACAGCATTAGCAGAACAGTGACAGGACAATCCAACCCTGGAGCAGAGACGGGGTGGGATGCAGAAAGTGGCACATTATGAGTCAGGAAACCTGGGTTCTAGACCTGTCCCTCCAACTGCCAGCACCCTCTGGGCCTCAGTTAACCCACTCTAAAATGAAAGTGTGGCTTACAGAGGCACTAAGTCCCTTTCTACTCTCACGTTCCTTCATCTACACCAGTCACTTCCAACCTTTTCACCAAAGGATATTTATTTATTTATTTATTTGTGGGGGGGGTCATTTAGCTTAGAAAAAAAAGGTTTTTTATATTGAAATAATTCTAGATGCATAGAAGAGTTGTACAGGGTTCCCGTATACCTTTCATTCCACTTCCCCTGAGGTTAACAGCTCACATAACCACAGTATAGTCATCCAAATGAAGAAGTTAACATTGGCACGGTACTGTTGATTAAACTGAAGACTTGGTTTCACTACCTATCTCATAAATATCTTGCTTCTGGCCCAGGATTCCATCCAGGACCCCATGGTGCACTGAGTTGTCATGTCTCCTTAGCCTGCTCTGACCTGTGACAACTCCTTAGTCTTTCCTGTTTTTCATGATCTTGATACTCTCAAAGAGTCCTGGTCAGGTATTTTGAAGAACACTCCTCCATCTGGGTTTGACTCATGCTTTCCTTTTACTGGATTTGCTTATGAATGTGTGGGCCAACTGCAACTGGCAGCGGGGGGGGGGGTTGTCCTTCTCTTCTCCATGCATCGTGCGTGTCTGGGATACATGGTATTGTATTACTGGTGATGCTAACTTGGATCACTTAGATAAGGGGGTGCCTACTAGCTCTCTCCAGTGTAAAATTACTATTTTTCCCCTTATAATTAATAAATATTTGGGAGAAGATATTGTTGGGTAAATATCTTGTTTTTTCCTTAAGGTTCTGCCTCCTAGTTTTAGCATTCATTGGTGGATCTCATCTGTAGCAATTTATTACGGTGGTGCTCCAAGGGTGATTTTCTACTTCCTGCATTCCTTCCACAGTTACCATTTGGAATGCTTCTACAGGGAAAAGAATTGTTCTTTCTCTCCATTTACTTGATAATTTATGCATATCAGTATGGACTCATGGATTTTTAAAATTCTTTAGGCCATAATCCAGTCCTACTGTTATTTATTTGGTTGTTCAACACTCCTGCTTGGGCACTGGAGAGGTGTTAGGTTGGCTCCTGTGTCCTACCGACATGCACCTTCTCTTTCTCTCAAAGTATTTCCCTACTTTCTAACACCACAAAGTATTTCAGCTTCATCTTGTATTTTCACTGAGTCCAGTAATAGAATAAACCACTTCTCTAAGGTCTTCCAAATTCCCTTTTATTGGAGAATGGTATTTAGAAACCAAAATGTAGGCAATAGTTTGCTGACTGCTCCTGGTTTGTCACTGCTCCCAGGTTCTCTCAGTGAACAGAACAAGGAAATATATGAAGGTATACTAATCCATCGATATACATACAAACATTCTTACTTTTATATCTATCAACTTGGATACATATATTTTTAAAGCTTGAATTTATACTGATACCTCTCACTTCAACCCAACATCCACGGGGTTTGTTTTAGCATTTCCCCTTTGAATCTACCACTGACAGTAAAAAACTTGGTTTACTACCTGAAAGGCCCCAGCCAGCCACGAGGAACCTGCCCCCTCCAAAGGTTAAGCCTAGGCGTGGCCCCCACCTAAAATGGCGCTCCCGCCTAAGAAGGCGCCCGGACAAACATGGAGGCTCAGACAAGGCTCTCCGGGTTCTTCTTCCACAACAAAGCCCCTACCAATCCCAAAAATGCCTCACCTGCCGACTAATAGGTAACCGATAGGTCGCTTTAAATTTCTATAAAACCTGCCACACCCCTGCCTCCATGCTGCAACCTAATTCTCTGGTTCTGTAGCCACCGC